GGCACCATTGCTACACACCTGGGATGTTTCCAACCATGGGAAGTTGCGAGAGTCTCGTTTCGTTGACTCTTCGATAGCTGCACCATGGGAGGGAGGGTCGAGTTCTTTACCCGAGACTCTCCCGTGCTGCGACTTCGTAGGTGTACGGGTTCTCGGCTGGAGCCATCCTCTGGGGTTTCCCTGAACCCAGGATCCTCCATGATACCGACCGGACTTTTTGAAGTCGCCCTTGCCAGAAGGGTCCCGAAGGAGACCGAACCACCGCGTTGGACTGGTTTGGACCAACCCTAGTTCGTTCAGAACCGAGTCGTGGACCCTGAGCGTCAAGTCGCTCAGCTGCAAGGTCAGATCGACTTGCTGTTGCGTCTTGTGGCCCCGCCACCTGCTGTCGCTCAGCCTGCCGTGGTTCGGCCTCCCGCTGTTGCGCAGCCTGTCGTGGCCCAGCCACCGTTGGCGCCAAACGCCTCCGCGCTCACCTGAGCAGGGTCCTGATACGGCTTGAGTAAGCCAACGTAGAAGACTGGATGCGTGCGCATCTTCTTCGGAAGGTTAAGCGTATACGCTAGGCCCTTCTTGGCCACGACCTTGAACGGTCCTATGAACCGTGGTCTCAATTTTGTCTTAAAGACTGCAGACACTGCATGAGTAGGTAGGTTTTTTGCATTTAATAAAACTTGGTCCCCGACCTCAAACCTTTCTTCATTGCGTCTGCCTTTGGCATCTGCATGTTCTTTTTGCATATCTTGGCTTTCAGCCATAGCGTCGCGTACTTGACGCATTACGCTTAGTCTCAAAGAGACAAAGTCATTGACTTGCTTGCGAACCGCAACAGGGCTGACATCAGCTAGCCGCTCGGCTATCCCTCCCCCATCAAGCCCTGAGCCACTGCGTGGCGGCGTCAGTGGGACTCGAGGGTTAACCAAGCCGTTCACATAGAACGGAGTGTAGCCTGTCGAGGCGTGCACTGCATTATTTAATGCGAACTCGACGAGTGGGAGCATCTGGCTCCAGCGTTTTGGCGCCTCAGCGCATACGCTTCGGAGGATATCCTCCACAACGCGATTCACGCGTTCTGTTTGACCATCGGTCTGCGGATGGTCCGCTGTGGACATGTCCAAACGAGTGCCAAGCACTCTGAAGAGGGACGTCCAGAACTTCGCGGTGAAGCGCGGGTCTCGATCCGAGACAATTGCCTCAGGCAAGCCATGTTGGCGAAAGACTCGGTCTAAAAACAGCAAAGCTGTACCTTCACCATCTATGGTGTCCGGCACCGCCGCTAAATGAGCCATCTTGCTCAATCGGTCTACAAAGACCACAATACCCGTGTTTCCTGCCTTGTCCTTGGGAAGGCCAAACACAAAGTCCATACTCATGGACTGCCAACATCCCTTGGGGACAGGCAAACTCGCCAATGGCGCTGCCGTGCTCGGCGCGGACTTCGTCCGTTGACACGTCTCACACGTGCGTACATAGGTGCCAACCCACTTATACATCTTGGGCCACCAGTACATCGAGCTCACCGAGCCATAGGTCTTCTCCCGACCTAAGTGCCCGCCCACGGGCGTATCATGAACCTCATAGAGGATTCGATACTTTAGATCCTCATCATGAGGAACGACTACACGAGGGTTATCCTCAGAGTCGGTGCTGTAGTACAGCAGGCCGCCATCGAGCGAGTATCGATGCAGCCTCGCGCGTAAGCGCCCAGACAATTCCTTGTCAGAGTCTTTAAACTCTTCGCTCCCAAGAGCCCGTAGCAGCGCTACGCACATGTCGTCTTGTGCATACGCTCCGCGTATCAAGTCAGGCACTGACGACATCACTGTCGTGACATGAGCTAACTCGTAGTCCGGCCTGCGCGAGAGCGCATCGGCCACTACATTAAGCCGCCCCGGCTTGTACTTCACCTCGAAGTTATACTCGGCAAAGAAGGAAAGCCATCTTGCCATTCTCTGAGAGAGATGAGGCGACTGTGTCGCAGTGTGTAACGACGCATGATCAGTAAAGATCACAAAAGGCTTAGAGCCTAGCAGGTGTACCCTTAATTTGACTAGAGCATACTTCATTGCAAGTAGCTCTTTGTCATGAACTGGATAGTTATTCTCTGCAGCTTTGAGCTGGCGAGACTCAAACGCGTTGACGCGTTCACGCCCTTCGGCGTCTGCTTGTAGTAAAGCACAACCGATTGCGAAATCGGAGGCGTCACAGACGACGCTAAACGGACTATCCGGGTCCAATAGCGCAAGGATCGGAGCCTGGAAAAGGCTCTCCTTCACAGCCTCAAAGGCTCCGTCGTGCTCGACGTTCCAGCACCATGGTGCGTCCTTCTTAAGGAGATCTGATAATGGTCGAGCCATCTCCGCGTAGTTTGCGCTGTACTTGTGCAAGTAATTGGCTAAGCCTAGCCACTTGCGTAAG